AGACTCTACAGGTGAATAGAGTCACAACATGAACTCATAGATATCACCATGAAACTTCACTACTTCATTACTCACATTAAGACGAGTATTTATTGTATTACAAGTTTTCTGAAATGTTGTGTTTTAATAAGCAAATGAGGCATTATGTAATGGTAACTTTTGGTGAATTTAGGAGAAATCTACAGACGTAAACAGACTCCGTAGTGAAATAAATGTTTTCTCTACTCTAGTCTGAAAGAAGAAGAACACGGTATGAAAGTAGTTTAGGAAGCCCGAAATCTCAAAATTGATTAGTGCATGAATAATTGTGTTTTGCCTGTAGTGTCTCACCTTAACAACCGTACAGCTCCTGATAACTTTCTAGTGATTTGGAAAAGCCCAGAAGGAAGAAGTTTGACAAGTAAAGACATGATTGACTAACCGAGCTCAAACCAATTAACTACATCATTACTTTACAAATCTATTTTGACAGTTTGAAACCAGGAAACTAAAGAACAGGGTTTGACTGAAGACAAGAAAAGGCATGTTGAAGGGGGATATTTGTTGTCCAGCTCATCTAAAACTCTCAAGGACCACATCTTTAGTGCAGACTTACGTTGCCTTTGACGACATAGTTGGAGTCCGTGTTGATGTCTCGGGCCAGGCCAAAATCACAGATCTTTGCTACTCGTCCTTGAGTCAGGAGGATATTTCTGGCAGCCAGATCTCTATGGATACACTGAAAGAAAACAAATGCACCACTACCTTTAATACCCAACGATAATACCCAATGTCATATACATGACCAATCAATAATATAATAACATTAGGCATGGATGAGGTGCTTCTTCTAATGCAGTTTGGTGCTGAATTTCCACACTTGGATCTGTAACACACAACCACTGACACTGATACAGGAGCTTACTGGCCACGGTATCTTGACTCCAGGGCTAATAAATCTTTCAACAGTAAGCTCCAACATGCGTTTTAGATCTGTTTACTAGCTGTGGAAAGATGATCCGTGCTCTGTCAGAGTTTTATCCAAAAATCAAATCAAATACGAAGGCTTGTACAGACAGTGGTGCATGACGCATCAATGACACAAAGAAACAACTATTCTACTACAAATATTTAGCACCAAAACTATTCATACAGGCAGAGGACCAACCACCAGGATCCTTTTGATCCAGAGCAGTGTCTAACAGTCTGTTTGAGGTAAACTGTTGTATAGCCTAAACTACCGTCACATATTTTATTGAGTTTCCTTTTAGGGAAATGCTCTAAGTGAATTTTAGTTCCCTCAAAAGTTAGTATATGTCTAGGGCTTTTATTGTGAAAGGTAAGTACAGAAGGATTGGATCTGGTCTGGGCTGCCTTTGTCAAGGTTTAGAGGAGTAATAAAGTTTTCCATCTTCAGACTATGGAGCCTCCACAACGTGATTGGTTGATGCCTTTATTTGCTGTTCCAAAGCTCAGAAAGATCAACGTGATCTCACAGAAATACGTGAAATTACCACATCATCTTAACAGCTTATTACGTGGCGGTAATACATAATGTGTAAGATTATGTGCCACCAACACAGAAACAATTCAATGTTAGGTTTAGACAACAAAACAAACATTAGCTTCAGGCAACAAAACAAACGTTAAATATGTAACAAAGCGAATGTTAAGTATGCAACAAAACAAACGTTAAGTATGCAACAAAACAAATGTTAAGTACGCAACAAAATGAACGTTAAGTATGCAACAAAACAAATGTTAAGTATGTAACAAAACAGATGTTAAGTATGCAACAAAACAAATGTTAAGTATGTAACAAAACAAATGTTAAGTATGTAACAAAACAAATGTTAAGTATGCAACAAAACAAATGTTAAATTTAGGTTGGGTAAACTTAGTTGGGTTTAGTAAAGACATCATGGTCAGGCTTAAAATAAGAATGTAAACTACGTGGATGTGTTGAATTTGCATTTCCACGACAACAAAGGATCGCTATGTAAAGACACATTATGTTCCACCACCATGTAACGCGCTGCTAAAGCTCTTTTTCACTGTGTTACATTTCCTTCCCATGTGTAAGTATTCAGGACAAACACAGCGGTTTGAAAGAAATATATTGAAGTACAAATAAATCAAACCCTAAAAAAACCCTGCTGTGTCGTGGCCATTATGGTTGTTGCTCACATTTTTGGCGGCCAAGAACTCCATGCCTTTGGCCACTTGGTGTGAGAAGCTGAGGAGGTCTTCTGTGTCCAGAGACAGACCATCCTCGTCGAACATCTCGCTCTCTGCATCTTCCTCATCGGAGACACCTGAGAGGACAAACAGGACGAAGATTACCCTGCGAGTCCACTGCTTTTCTTTTCTGAGTATTTTAAGATATTTGATGAATGGCTGGCTCTCTTGCCTTTGCGTAGTGAGCGTCTCTTCTCAGAGGATGAGCCGAACGGCAGCTTGCCAGCAGCAGAAGGCCTCATGGTCATGTAGCCGTTCAAGCTGTCACTGTGAAGAGGAAAAGGAGCAGTCTGGTCTCAGCCGAGCACAGCCACACATCGGCACGCTAGTGTCCAAATACCCTCCTCCTACGCACGTTCTGGAGAGTATATACTAGTACTCTCCTTTCTCTTACACTCACAGTATACCAGTGTTTTACATACAGAAAAGAACCTGACCCAGCTGCGTCGCTCTGCGGCATGACGTTGCGGTAGTAGCAGTCTTCCTCCAGCTTATAGCAGATGAAGGATTCCCTCTTTCTGCGTAGAAAGTTCAGGAGGTCTCCGAAGCAGCAGTACTCTGTGATCACCAGTGTAGGGCCTGCAGACGAAGACACCACAGCGACACCAAGAATCACAACCAAAATCAGTCTCCTTAAATCTCTGATGAAAAGATAATACAGGACAGAACATGGCTGCCGCACCTCCAACAGTGCAGGCTCCCAGCAGGTTGACGATGTTCATGTGGTTTCCCAAGTAACTGAGGACTTTCAGCTCCGACATCAGGGCCTCTTTCTCTGTGGCATGAGCGCTTGCTGTGAGGGGGAAAAAGATTGGAACAGAATCTGAATGGTAAGGATTGGTAGTCAGCTCAAGTTGGACTATGAGTACATATCGCAATCTGGTATTTGTGCTTGTTGCTGGAGGCTGATTTGAATAAAGAGATGCCTGTAAAATACGGTTATTTGGCATAAAAAAAAA